ACAATCATTTCCAATCATCATACCGTTTCTGTGCAATCACTTCCAATCATCATACCGGAACCAAAAAATCAGTTTGAATCAGTAAGCAGAGCAATGAAACCGATTGCTCAGACTCCTTCATTTTAAACTCGATCGGAAAAATTTGTAACGAACCGCTGTGCTGAGTTGTGACCGGTTTGAGCGAGGCTGATCAAACCGAATCGATCATACTCCATTATCATAAACACTGATTATCTAGTGCATCTATTCTATTTCAAATACATATGTTTGTATATACATGTATGTATTTATATACATATGTTATATCTATAATGGAAATTCCATCAAGCACATACATACAACATACGTATGTATATATGTATGTACGTTCTCGATGGAATTTCCATTGTTTACGTTTCGAAAATTTGTAACAAGCGCACATTTTCAAAGCTGATACATTTTTGGCCACACATGATCCATATCAGTCCAGCAGAAAATTGTTGTTGTTTGTGGCATAGATTTACTCGTAGATTTACTTATAGTTTACCCAAAGTTTCACTTCAATTCAAACATCGTCGCAACGCTATGAACTGATATGCTACGATTGCAACCGAAGCCAGCCATACCGTTTACACGCTCGTGACTGTCGAAGAACAGATTGTTCGTGTTGTATCAGATCAGTTGACGCTGGCGGCTACTCGAATTGATTAACAATATTGTCTATGCTGAACTGAATTGATTTAATTGTGTTTTTGGTCGACTGTTTGTTCTGATTTTATCATACTCGTTGCAGCTCTCTGATGCATGCTTAAGCTTCAATGATTGAAATGATCGACAGCGTTCGGTTTCATCCCCTAAACACTGATTTACTCGTACACTTCTGTTCTATTTCAAATACATATGTATGTATGAATATGCGTATGTTATATGTGTAATGGAAATTCCATAGAGTGCATACGTACATCCAACAAATGTTTGTATGTATGTACTTACTCGATGGAATTTCTATTGTTTATGCATCGCAAATACGTAAACGCAAATTTTTAACATGTGCAGATATTCAAATCTGACACATTTTTTACCACATATGATTCAAATTAATCCAGCAGAAAATTGTTGTTGTAAATAAATTCTCGTAGTTTACCCAAAGTTTCACATCGATTAAAACAATCGTCGCAACGCTATGAACTGGCATGATACTATTTGAACCGAAGCCAGCCATACCGTTTACTCGATTGTAATTGCCGAAGAACAGATTCTTCGTGTGGTATCAAATCAGTTGACGCTGGCGGCTACTCGAATTGATCAACAATGTTGTCTATGATGAACTGAACTAATTTATATTAGGGGTATTAGACCGAACTTGTTAATATGGTAATTCGTTAGTTGATACTTCGTTAAAACACTTAACTGTGAACATACTTTTTGCTGTACATCAGTAGTGGGTGTAAATTTTGTTTCAAAACAGCTGATTAGATTATATTAAATACTCTTTTTTGAAAAATTTATCAGAAACTAATTTGTAGTAGACAGCAAGTGTTTTTATATATAAAAATAAAAAGATATGTATATTATGTGCCCGAATAATATCTGAAAGCCAGCACGTATCCCGTTGCAGCTACTATGTTAGATGATGGGCGAACGACGCACAGACGATTGGTATATTGTTATATGTATAGTATATCAGAGAAGTACGGAAAGTTTGGAGAATGCTGCTCAATGCAGTTATGTGGTGGCGTATGTCTCTATAGTGTTTCTGCTACCTGTCAAATAAAATTTTACAAGTTTTAATTATTGAAATGTTAGTAAAAAAGTTAAATGGTGAAAAGATATCATAAACAACGGTTAATGTGGGCACCTGTGATAAAAGCATTCATATAAGCAACGAAATTGGCTATGGGGTTTGCAAGCAAATTATTAAATTAAGTTGTAAGTTTTCAGTACTATTAAAAACATTAATATTCAGTTTCCCTTTCTTCTAGTATGTCTGTAAATTTATTTACAGGTCATATTTAAAGAAATAAATAAATAAACAATAATATTTGTGAAATTATCCATATTTATAAAAATCTCTATTCTATTTTTTGAATGCCAAAAACAAAATTAATACTTTTTCTATATATTATTTCTTTACCTCTGTCTAGTTATTTTTTACATTAGGACGAACTGTTATATTTTATTGTTAATGAGAGCCCCCGGAATGGCTTATCACAACTCGAATGGAGGTGCTATTGCTAATAATAGTACAGCTGGTGGCAGTTTACGTGGTATTGCTGGTGAAATTGGCTCCAGTGAATATTCTGGCGACGAGCGAGACTCTCGGAGCGGCGAAGATCATCACGAGAGTGATTTGAATAACAAGCCAATATACCTTCTCGAACATTTAGCTACCTTCACGGTAAATAAGGAATCCGGCATTGTCTATCCCGCAGACGGTATGCGAAGGCTGTTACAGTTGGAAAAAACCACTGGTATATGGTCTCAGAAAATGCAAATATGTTTGGATTACCAATGGGTGCTTATAATGGATTATGAAACCGGAGTGAGTATATATTGACTTTATTGCCTATTCCACGTTTGGTTAGAGAGTTTCCCATTAACTTTTTTAGAATATCATAGAAAGATTTCCAGCATCTCTTATACAGGATCCCACAGCATTCACATCTACTGATTCCATGGAGTTATATAACAATATATTAGTATTTATCGTGTCCGGCGGCAGTGGCTCACGCTCAGAAATGCATATTTTTCAGGTAAATGCACAAACTTCACATTGTTTAAAGCAGTGAATTTTAATTTTTTTGCATTCTAATTTAAGTCACAAAGTGTATCAGCCGTGCATTTGGTTGAAGACTTAAAGAGCCTAAGAAATGGGAAAATGGTGACACAACAGCGCGAGAGTTTAGTGCATCAACACCAATCACCATCAAATCTATTAAAGAACGGTCCTACTGGTTTAGTTAAGTCATTACCGGCATCCAGCAGTCAGCACGGTCGCAGTGAACAACAAATCCATCATCTTCACAATGGTGGTACTATTACGCCATCCCGCACTAGTATAGATCAATATGGCTTACACGTCCGAAGTCTCATGCTAGAAAGTAATCACACAGGTGCTGCTGCTGGTAGCGGAAATGGTGAAACAGATTCCGAACAAAGCGGGTTTAATGACGAAACTAGTTCTACGTCTAGTGACAAGTATGAACGTGATGTAACTGTGTTGAATCATTGCTTTGATGACATAGAAAAGTTCATAGCACGCCTTCAACATGCAGCTGCAGCATCACGCGAACTGGAGCGTCGTCGCCGAAACCGAAAAACAAAAAAGAAAGATCCTGGCGAGGGTTTATTAACGTTGCGTACTCGACCGCCCCTTGAAAAAGAGTTTATCGACATTTTCGCCAAATTCAAACTTTCATTTAACTTGCTAGCCAAGCTGAAAGCACACATACATGATCCAAATGCTCCTGAACTAGTTCACTTCTTATTTACACCGCTTGCACTAATAGTCGAGGCTTCCAGTGACACTTACTTTGAGTCTCAATTGCCAGCACGTGTGATCAATCCATTACTTACACGTGAAGCCATAAATCTGTTAATTAATTGCGTTACGAGCAAAGAAACGGAATTATGGCGCTCCCTTGGTGACGCTTGGATTATACCACGCGATCAGTGGAAAGATGATGTGGGCTCATACCATCCTGTATTTATGGATGGATGGTCGCCCGATTACTTGGTAACCGATGAATTGGAAACGCTTACAACTCCAACAAACATTAGCAAGCGTCGTTTAGATGTTAAATCACATTTCCATGCTGGTCATACCAGTCACAGCGGGGAGAACGGACGCCAAGTTGGCAGCAATAGTAATACAGCTTTACATATAGGGCAAGTCGAAGAATACGAAAGAAGTGTACCAATTGAGAAATATTCTGGTCATTATGAACACGATAGTGAACGATTTTTGCCCACTGGTGGCATAAGTGGCGCTGCGAACGGTGGGCCTTGTGATTTTAGCGTGCACAGTGAAATTTCTATTGATTCCATTGAACGTAGCGGAGGGGCATTGCACGATTTGCAAATTAATAATAACACCGCAGCTGGTATTCAAACAATATCAACAGGAATGCAACAATTACATGCACGTGACTCTAAGAATACCACAGCCACGCGCAATAAAAACTCAGTGTCCGAATTCTCTGGTCGTGATAACATCACTAACGACGAACAAATGTTGGCAGCGTGGCTAGATGATTTACAAACAGCACATGCTAAAATTGTCCTAGTCACTTATCCCCGCACAGCCAACAATGATAAAGAACTAAGTGTAGTTCGTGGTGAATATTTGGAGGTGAGTCAGCTATTTTTAAAGCTCTAAAGTTGAGATTTCATCATATTAAAATCTTAAACTTATGACATGATTTATAAAAGTATACATGCGTAGGCAATCAAGCTACTAGTTTATCACCTATTTACTGAATCAAATGTACAGTTTTAATAGTTTAAATACCAGCTGGTGCATCACACTAAACAAATTTTGAAAACTTTCACTTAGAAGGTGCGTAACTAAATTGCAGGCGAAATAAAGGAGAGCATTATCTCCCTGTTTTAATAAATTGGTTAAAATTGGCGTGTCACACGCGATACGTTGATTTATTGCTATGAGTGTAAAGTGGAGTGGTTGTACTAACTGCAGCAAGTAACATACCTAATACCTTCAACACAAAATCACTTGAACTTGCCACTACGTCCACTTCTACACTGTTGAGTTTGGAGACAAAAGTCCTAGATGGGAAACGTCGTTTGCAACTACTATGACTATTCTCTGGACAAGGTAATTAAGTTTGTAACACCCTATAAAATACACAAATAGATAGACATAAACGATCGGCAAGACGAGCTAAGTCGATTTATTCATGCCCGTCTGTCTGTCAGTTAATAAGCGAACTAAACCTTCAGTTTCTCAGATATCGTCCTTTTCTCCCCCAGAAGCTGCACAGTTGTGGGAACCGATATCGTACCACTTTAGTATCATAAAAAAAGAATAATCTCCTTGCATGGAACATTTTTTTTAACAAAATAGGAAATTTGGCACATATTGTTGTCCAAGGCAACGCTACAATCTCCGAAGAAATTGTTCAAATTAAAACACTGTATAGAATTCTAGAGTGGAATCTTTTGTAGCTTTCATTCAATCTAAGTTAACGTTTTTGGTTTTATTCAACATTAATTTAGCTTAGTAGGTATGCTTAGTAGGAAGCATAACTTGTTTGAAAACCTTTTCAAGTGTCGTGAAATTCCTTAGTAAGAGTTTAGAGAAGATAAATTATTCGCATACGTTTTGTTTAGATTTTGGATGATACTCGAAAATGGTGGAAGGCTCGCAACATACGAGGTCAAGTGGCCCATGTTCCACACACAATTGTCACTCCATATAACTTCGGTGACGAGTCTGCGAGCAATCAGTTTTATGGGCAAAAACAAGTACCATCACATCTGCAAGGAAACAATACTTATACACAGCCGAGACACCCGATAAATAGTGTAAGTCTCAGTGTAAGTTTAATATTATATATATGAATATAATAGGTATAAGTACGGAATTATTACATATGATATTATTAACATATTACATATATAATATTTTTAGGATAATATTGAGACACACCGGTCACACGACGCTACTGATTGGATTCGAAATAAGCATTTGGGTAAGAAAGGAGAGTTCAGATATTTTTAATTAGCTGTAGCGTAATTTGTATACTGTCTATTTGTCCATGATATTATTTATAAATACAAATATTTTACAACAAGTAAATTTTTATGTTTAAACTTTTTTGCTTGCATTTATATTAAGTATGAATTTGTTTGAGTTGTAAACACTAGTAAACTAAAATAATAAAATCAAAATATTGAAAAAACGGTATTTTCTGGAACTTAGAACAAAGACAAAGTATGAAAAAGCTGAAGTTTTATGACAAACAAAAAAGTAAAAAGGGCTGCACTAAGATTGATCACCAGCGAACATTATAAACATCCCCTAATTGTGAATATTATTATTGTTCTTAAAAAACTGTAGAGTAGTAAATATTGTACACAATTTTTTTTACATAGTTTCTGAATTCTTAGCCGTTAAGCAGAGATACTTTGAACGAAATATTGGGAAAATAGTGCCGTCTGCTGTCAATTTATTGTCCAGTTATAGGAATTGGGTTAGTATGAAAATTTTAATGAAAACGTTATGTACATGATACGGATATCGGGGAATAACTAAGAATTTGACTGTTTGTGTATTTATAAATTTAGATCTATCACTATTGCTTCTGGCCATGTTCTACACAATCTGTTTTATTATTTCTGGCAAATACAATAAATTTTCCAACATACAATTTTTTTAACACACAAGAAATTTGATTTTTTTTTATTATTAAATATTTTTATTTTGAACTGTGCTCGTCGAATTCAAAATTTCCTCTAGGTTTACCCTAAAGTATGAGCCTTAAACGATTAATAATAACCCAACGCTTATCTACTTCCCGCTCAACCGACGCGAGGGGTACAATCGAAATACTTATACAAAATAAGACGAATAATGACGTACAAGATCTTAACAGTAAGGGTCTATACTGCCTCGAAAAACGTGTCGGAATTTCAAATGTATCTTCAGATAAGAGACAAGAACTGCAAAGTGTTCCATTTAGAAATTTCACACGGAATATTATGCCAAGCATTTTCCTACCACTAGCTAGTTGAGGCAGATGTATTAGGTTTAAATTCATAGCCCAGAATCCCATCGCAAATGCCCTAATCCGAAAAGTAATTTTTTTTTAATATAACCTATCTTTTAACCCTAACCTTTTTCTCAAATAAACAAGTTGAAAGCTGGCACTTCTTAACTAAGATACTGTCAAAGTTCATTTCTTCCAACCATTTCATACTCCTGCTACTTGAAAGGATTAAAGCCAAGGAAATAACTACCTACAGGAACATAAGACCTGTTAGTTGTATTCTAATATATTAATATGTTCTTGATTGGTATACTTTATATAATATAATATACCCTTTTTACACTGTATCATTAGAATTTCAGAGGAAGGTCTCGTATCAAATTTAGTTAAAATCGGCGAGATTTAAAACTTTCTATATGATAATAAAAAAAATAGAAAATTGTAAGTAGGAGGACCTTCCCGTTACAATTAAGAACTTATTCTTGGAGAGGCTTCCTTAGAGGTGTCTAGGAACCCATTTTTCAGAGTACCAAATGAAAAAAGAATTTTTAGTTTAATCACCCTAATATATATATAATATAAAATTCCAATTAGGCATAGGGCAACGCAGTAGTATGGGGCATCTGTGGGTAAAAAATTTTGAAAAAAGTGGCCGTCCCCGCTCTCTAAAACGTTTAATGTTTAATTCAAGTCACTAAAGCTACAACACCAAATATTACAAGAACTTCTATGGATAATGTGAAAATGGATGAAATCAGATGAAACCCCCGCTCACTCCCCATATAACGTTACTGTTAAAACTACTAAATGCTCGATAAATCTATAACTAAATGCGATAGAATCGTAAAAATTTGCTACCGGGATGGTACGACCAGGCTTTATAGGGGCCGGTGTAAAAATTGGAGGATGAGCGTGTCATCGCTCACTTTTTAGTGAAATCCCATAATTCTGAACCCGACTGACTGATTTCGACAAAATTTGGTACGTGGCATTCTTTTCTTTCTTATGTCACGTTATGAAAATGAGCGAAATCGGACTATAAGCAAGCTCTTGATTCTTTTACTTTCTACTAACTAATATTTGGATTTTCGAACATCCGGCTGTCTTTACTCTATATGATAAGTTTTTTAGTAAGAGATATGTTAATAAAATATGTTTTCTAGCATATTTACCCTTTGCTCTCTTCCCAATATTTGACTACCCGAGCCTGTAAATCATGAAATATGTTGTTTTTCCACTAATTTCAAATAACCAGACAAAAATAGCGGTACATACTTCATAACTTTATTTAAAGTGTTGCCAACATACATAGGTTAAAAAGTTTTTTTTTTTTGACTACTCAAAAACCAGTAATTTTCTTTTTATGCGATCGTTAAAATTTCCTAAAAATACATAAGATTGTCATATTGTTAGTTTTCAGCTTAAAAAGTTTACAAAAAAGTCTCTTCAAAGTATTAACATCCGTCTGTACAAGTTACAAGTAGAAATATTCAGTATGGTAGCATATGTATATGTGGCAGCACCGCCACTCATTTCGGAGTTAATTATAATTGTATTAAGCATGGTAACTCTAGCTGCTACTTTGACATTTCGCTATGTATGGTTTTCTTTTCCTTTTGTGTCAAACCTTTATGTCAAATAAAATGCGAAGATCGCTCTCTTTCTTTTTGGAAATTCGTCGTAGAAGGACGTGCCCACACGAACACTCCACATTGGTGACTCCGCACATTTTTATTTTTTAATTGCTATTTTTCTAAATTCTTTATTATGAGTCTCGACGAAAGTCAATTGGTTTCTGAAGAAGGGAACATCTTAGAAAAYGCTACAACACAGCATTTTGTACCACGACTGCCGTTGCCCCAGATATGAGAGGATAATATTGAGGCATATTTTTATTATTTAAACTTTTGATTCGATGCAACGGGCATCGTGGCTGACATAACAAAGTTTAATATCGTTTTGGCAAGCGTCCCACCTTCAAAGTTAATGGAACTGCGTACCAAAGTTGATGCTGCTCCGCCCACGAATAAATACTGCTACATTCGGACAAAACTGTTGGAAAATTTTACAGAAAGCCAGCAGCGACGCCTGCAGCGTGTACTTCGCGAGATGCCCCTGGGCGAACGGCGCCCAAGCGACCTTTACAACGAGATGAAGCGCGCCGCGGGAACCACGTTAAGCGAGAGCATACTTCACGACCTGTGGATCACTCAGTTACCTACATATACGCAAGCGGCAATCATTGCTACAAATGTGCCAATCGTCGAAAAGTTGAAGATCGCCGATTCCATTACGGAGTCCATTAAATTGCGCCAAGGAGACTGCAGCGAATTGTGCACCGTACAACAATCTACCGACCAAGATCTGAGAGCYGAAATAGCAGCACTCAAACAACGACTCGACCAAGTAGTAAGCGACAACGTACATCGGTTTCGGCCTAGACCTAGATCTAGATCTAGGACTCCGACCGGTATCCGTAACTCACACAACAGCTCCAACGAAATGTGCTGGTATCACGCGAAATTTTTGCAACGCCCGTAAGTGCAGACAGCCGTGCAAAATGGCTCATCCGCAGCCACCAACCGACTCAAATTAGGCCTGCTCAGCCTACTGTTTTTCAGAATCAGGCAAACGTTCTGAAAAACTTACGAACAAACGCCTTCACATTTTCGACACTACTGCAAAAATGAGTTTCCTTATTGACTCCGGCGCAGAGGTGTCGACAATACCGAAGTGTTCAAGCTTGGCTGAAGCATCTAAATCGGATACCAAATTGTTTGCTGCTAACGGYTCACCAATTCAAGTGTTTGGTGAAGTCCTACTTAAATTGAATCTAAACTTACGKAGAGAGTTCGTGTGGAAGTTCGTAATTGCCGACGTTTCTCAGGCGATTATTGGCGCAGACTTCTTATCATTTTTCGACCTACTACCAGATCTCAACCGACATTGACTACTTGACCGCCGCACCGAGTTAAAAACAATGTGCTCGATAAAGTCAATTAATACACCGAATATATCAACTATCAACATAAATATGCCATTTTCGGATATTTTGTTAAAATTTCCGACAATAACTCACCAACCTCTACAGTTGTCCACCGGATCATTACGTCCGGACAACCGGTATTTAGCAGACCAAGGCGGTTATCACCTGAGAAGCTTGCTGCAGCACGTGCTGAATTCGAGCTCTTAATGAAACTTGGCATATGTCGGCCGTCTAGTAGCGACTGGGCGAGCCCCCTGCATATGGTCTGCAAAGCAGATGGTTCTTGGAGACCGTGTGGTGATTACCGTGCCTTGAATGCTGTCACTGTACCGGACAGGTACCCAATTCCGTTTCTCCACGACTTCACGCACATATTATCAGGCAAAACTATTTTTTCAAAAATCGACCTAGAGAAAGCTTTTCACTAAATCCGTGTACATGAAGAGGATGTGTGCAAAACGGCCATTACAACCCCTTTCGGACTATACGAGTTCACTCACATGACCTTTGGATTACGCAATGCTGCACAGACATTTCAAAGGGTTATCAATGAAGTCCTTCGCGGAATAAATAATACTTTCGTCTACTTGGATGACATCTGCATAGCTTCTGCCTCGACGGAGGAGCACCGTAAAGACCTTCAAAACATATTTCAACGATTGCGAGATCACAATTTGACAATAAACATCGCAAAGTCGATACTCGGAGTACCGGAACTCGAATTCCTTGGGCATCTTATCACCCATAATTAACCATTGCCAAATCGTGTCAAGACTATCACAGATCCTAAACTTCCAACTACTGCGAAAGATTTAAAGCGGTTCCTCGCCATGGTAAATTTTTATAGACCTTTTTTGAAAAATCCTCTTCTACATCAAGCACCATTATTCAATATGACTCCGGGTAACAAGCGCAATGATCACTCACCTCTCATATGGACCAAAGAAAATATAAAACATTACGAAGCCTGTAAGGAGGACCTAGCTAAATGTACGCTTCTAGCACATTCCACTCCCAACGCGCATTGGATTGACGCATCCGACTCTGCAGCCGGTGCAGCGCAACACCAAGTAGTTAACAACATGCTCCAAACGCTGGGTTTCT